ACAATAAATAGAACCAATAATATATATGTTTATAAATAACTACATAATATGTAAAATATTCATTCATAAATGACTAAAATAAAAATAAGTAAACATTACAAACCAAAATACAAACAAAATAAGCACATAGGATGATTTCAGGGACAAAAATGACATTTTACCAAGCTTGAAGGGCTAAAATAGCTAAAACAGAAATTTAAAAGGCTAAACAGCAAAACTAGAAACTTAAAGGAATAAATAGTAAAAATAGAAAGTTAAAGAACTAAAATTGTAAAAATAAAAACTTAAGGGATTAAAATGGTATTAACAAAAACTAAAAAGGCTAAACATTAATTATAAAATAAAACAGAGCCCAAATCACAAATGTTAAATAATACAGGCACCATAAATGTAAATAACCCATAAATAATATAAATGACTAAAATAAATTACACCATAAACATGATGGACTAAATAATAATTAAACCAAATGTAAGACAGTGACTAAAAGAGAAGATTTGCAAATATTGTTGCCAAATTTGAATATTAATAAACCAAATAAGGACTAAAATGAAATAACCAAGAAAATAGACTGCTAAAGTATAAATAGACTAAAACATAATGACCTAGGCTTTAAATAAAACATAAAAGAATTGAAATATGAACAATGACTAAATTACAACTTATACGAAACAAGAGATCGAAATAAAAAGAAAATAAAGTTGCATTAATGGTTAAATAGAAGGGCACAAAGTACAAAGGACCTCTCAGGTAATAAACCCACGCGCGAAAATGCCTCCAAGGTCCCCTTAAAACGACGTCGTTTTGCAAGATATATATAAGCCCCAAACAAGCCTATTTCTCACCCATTTCCTCATTTTTCATTTTTTCCCCGAGAGAGATAGAGAGAGAGAACTCTCTCAAGGCTTCAACCGAAGCCCAGATTTTGGTGGAGCCCCACCGTGTCGGCTGCCACTGACCAACGGTCGTCGCCGTACGTCGGCATTGGAAGGGAGAGAAAAAGACGTCATACAGAGCGTCTCTTGGTTGTGAGCAAAGATCGGGGGCTCGTTTGGCCTAAAAAAGGCCTAAACATCGTAGATCTAATAAGAAACCCTTCGATTTCTTCTTCTCCGATGACCTCAGCTCATCGACGTTCGACCGAGGTAAACCCCTTCTCTTTCTTCTTTCTTTCATTTTCTTTTTCAGGTATTTCTCTATATTTTTCCTTTTTCTTTCAATGTTTTTTTTTCGCTCTCTCCCCTCCGAATGGTCCTTGATATTTTCTCTCTGCTCCTTTTTATGTTTTTCCCTGTGATTGGTGGTTATAACTTTGATGGATATGATGCCTCTGTTCTAGCCTGATTCCTCGGGATTTCTTGGGATATCATTTAGATTTGTTTTGATTTTTTTTATGTGGTTTCTTTGATTGATGTCTGCTTCTTTGATTGACTTGGTGATCGATATGGTCACTATAGGTACGACTCAAGGACGGTAGTGACTCAGGAAGTAATCGGTGGCAGTTCACGTTGACCAAGTGATGGACGGTAAAGTTCATGCGTAGGCTGGGAAGCTAGGAGGCCAAACGGCGGTAGCTACTGATATTTTAGGGTTTAAAACCCTAATTTGAATAGATCGAGTCTTGGGTCGGTTTAGCTCTCCTGCGGGTCGGGTTCCAAATGTTTAGGTCAGCAGCTTGGGTTGGGCTTAGGTCTGCTGAGTGGTTGTTGTAGTTGGGACTTGTAATTGGTCTCAGGTTGAGCCTGAAATTGAGCCTGTAAAACAAAAGGTAATAATAATAATAATAATAATAATAATAATAATAATATTTTTGGTTAATAATAATAGTAATAATAGTAATAATAATAATATTTTTTGTAGACCCGGACAAAAATGGGTGTCTACACTATGCTCACCAATCAACTTCAGTCTACTTCATATCTGGTTCTCCTTTCTATATCTGTTAATTTTTTGATGTAGGGCAAGATCGTTTTTTATATCAATAGTTTGATTACACTTGATAATAACAACTATCGGGTCATAGATCAGGAGCATCAAGACATGTGTGTTTTATTAAATATCTTTTTTATTCTTTGATTACTATTCAAGGTGCCACAATCCTTTTTCCTAATAACTCAATAGTTTATGTTGCTTATTATGAGAATATTCACCTTTCCCCTTCTTTGGTGCTTAAGAACATTTTATATGTTCCTCAATTTCAGTTTTACCTATTGGCAGTTAGTGAATTGATTAAGGATTCTGATCATTTTGTTTTGTTTTGCAACACTCAATGTTTGATTTAGGACCTATGCCATGTGACTGAGAGGGGTGAGCTCTATCAAGGTCTCTACTTACTACGTATTCCTATTATGCTTGAGCAGAAAATGTTATTAATGACAAGATTCTTAATATTCCATATGTTATATTGGCTTATGGGCATGCTAGGCTTGGCCATCATAATTTTCGAGTTTTACATGTTTTAAAAGATGTATTACCTTTTCATGATTCTAATAAAATTGAGCCTTGTGAGATTTGTCCTCTTACAAAACATCATCGATTACCTATTTTTCCTTCATCTTCTCGGGTTGTTCATCCATTTTATTTGGTGCACTGTGATATTTGGGTGCGTACAAGACTGTCACGTATCATAATCAAAGTTTTTTCTAACCTTAGTTAATGATTATATAAGGTGTACTTGGACTTATTTGTTGCAGCATAAGTCAGAAGTTAGCTCTATTATTCCTAACTTTATAAAGATGATTAAAAGACAATTTGGTTATGATTTGAAGGTATTTCAGTCTTGTAATGCCCCTAATACCGATTTAGGGACTATATTGAAATGATTCAAAAATAGGAGGATTTATTTGATTAAATGATATAAGATGAGAATGATTAATATTATTAGTTTAGACTAAATTGTGACAATGGTTTATTAAGAGGGCATTTTAGTCTTTGAAATGAAAGAGAAATTAAAGTGTATTTTAAATTGGTATTAAAGATAAGGGGAAAGGGGAATTATGTTGCAAAAAGTTCTCTTTCTTATTCTTCCTCTTTCCCTGTAGAAGAGTTCTCCCATAGCTCAAAGGTAAGTTTTCAATTTAATGGTTTATTCCTTCAATTTTTGATGGTTATTGAATCCTTGTATATAATGGAAGCTTAAGGAAGGTTTAGATGGGATTAAAATAATGAAATAAGGGAAATAAAGGAGATTTTAGAAAATGGGTTTTATAATGAAATGTTAATATATGAGGGTTTATTAATGTTTATTGTTAGAATTGACTTGTCAATAAGGTAAATGAAAGATTATAAGCATTTGATGAGTGTGAAAACAAGTTAGAAATTTTGGTGTGATTCTTAGAATCAAATGTTATTGAGGGATACTAGATGTTTTAAGTATCTAAATGAAGGAAAGTTAGTATGGTTAAGTAGAGAAGAGTTGCATAGTATTATTAGGGGTAAATGAGAGGAAAATTGGCCAAAGTTGGGTGTGTTTCGGGTTAAAACTGGAAAATCTGGGCATGGGTATCAGTACTAATAGAATAGTACTGATAATATAGGCTAAAATTAGCCTGATTTAGATGAGAAGCATCGATACTGATTCAATCAGTATCAGTACCGATGAGGTAGTATCGATATCATGGTAAGGGTATCGATACTAGGTAACATCGAACCTAATTTTGGTATCAATGCCATAAAGGGGTATCGATACCATAGTATAGTAGTATCGATACCATGGTAAGGGTATCGATAGTGGGACATATCGAATCTAATTTGGTATCGATATTGGAAGGGGGTATCGATACTATTGTGGGAGTATCGATATTGAGGAACCAGAAATGTTAAGTTATGCTTATATTGTTGTAGAAATATTAATAATAAGTACTTTTGATTAATGATTAAGTTATAATTCTTAGGAAATACACTAACAATTGATATTATACATGTATTTAGTGAATCTGAGATAGATCGAAATCAAGTTCCCGAGTCGAGTAAGGAAAAAGGCAAATTTTCTGGAGTAATTATCTTCTCATATTTTGGATATCTAAGCAAGGCGAGCCATGTGAGTGCATTTAATTATGTACATATATGATATAATAATCATAGTAGTTTGAATTATTGATTTATGTATGGTGATTACCAAATGGCATTAAGTGTGATAAATGCCAAGGAATTCATACTAAGTGTATGAATTTCCATATAGGGCACTTCGTGTGCTAACATGAGAAGGAATTCATACTAAGTGTATGAATTTCCATATAGGGCACTTCGTCTGCTAACATGAGAAGGAATTCATACTAAGTGTATGAATTTCCATATAGGGCACTTTGTGTGCTAACATTAGAAAGAAATTCATACTAAGTGTATGAATTTCTATGTTGGGCACCTTGTGTACTAAAATGATAATAAATTCATACTAAGTGTATGAATTTCTGTATGGTAATAAATTGTGTTTAGAACTTTACTTGTGATTAATTATTCCTCACTAAGCAATATTTAACGTATGTTTATTTCACGCGTAGGTGGAATACTAGCCGAGTAAGAAGATCATCAGACATCAAGTCAGAATCGCCACATCAGTAACAGTATGACATACTTGTCTGTTTTTGATATATTTTGGTTGGTATGTAATAGGTTTAGTAAAAACGTTTTGAAAAACTTTTGAATTAAACTAATGTATAACGGTGAAATGCAAAACATATGTTTTTATTGTATATGTAAGCTTAATGCATGTTTTCATTATAAGTTATAATGGTTTATAAAATGAAACAAAATTGTATGGATTTTCAAATGGGAAACTGTTTTAAAAGTGATGTGACATTTGTATCTCGTATACATAATGGTATACAGGAGATGAGTGTTACATTTATTGGTATCAGAGCTACACATTTAGCCAATTCTCGATAGAAAATGAGTGTGGTTTGATATAAAACTAGTTTACATACCACTAAGATGTGAAGGTTACTGATAGGGTATAGAATGAATATGAAAGATGTATCTCCTTAATAACTTAAGTATGATTCTTATGAATATTGTGATAGATGTCGGATTCTACTAATTCAAGAAGAGTGGCTGGTCAAGAGAGTAGAGACGAATCGGGTAGTGAGAGCTATGAAGAGAATAACAAACATCCGATTCCGTCTGACAATGCTAGTGCAACGGTACCTCAGGGCATGCCTGTCCCGGAGTTCATAACTTTTATGCAAGCTCTAGACGCTATCCTGACGTAATTTCAACCTCCTCCGCCTCCCCATGCTCCTCCAGTATCGGGAATACTAATCCCAAAGGAGTTAAGAAGTTTGTGAGCTCCTGAGTTTAGGGGAGAGGAAAGAGAAGGCCCGATGGATACGGACTTATGGTTAAACGATGTAAAGACAATGTTGGAAAGTTTGTTGTGCTTTGATCATGAGAAACTACGTGCAGCTGTATCATTACTCAGAGGATCTGTTCGGGTATGGTGGACAAACACGACAATATATGCGTCGCCCGAGCAAGTGAACTGACAGTTCTTCCAAGAAGAGTTCAAGAACAGGTATATCGGGGAGTAGTTCATGAGATCGATGTTGTTGAAGTTTCTGAACTTGAAATAAGGTGATCGAGCAGTGCACGAGAATGAGGCTGAATACAACAAACTTAGCCTATATGCTACCAAGGTAGTCCCTAATGAAAAAGCTCGTCGGGATTAGTTTATTGAAGGGTTGAGGCCTAAGCTGAAAGAAATTATGCTGGCCTTAAATTTGTCCAGTTTACAAGAGGTTATAAATAGAGCGAAGACTATTGAAATAGCTCAAGAGGAGACTTTAGCAGCAGAACAAATTTTTCAGACGGGAAAAAGAATTGGAACGTCTTCATCTGCACATCATGCAAAGAGGGGCAAGGGCTCAGGTTCTCGATTCACAGATAGAACTGATCATTATGCAGCTTCGTGGAAAACTAAGCAATCCCATTCCTATGCCGCTAGCTCGGGTAGAGCTTATGGAGAGAAACCTCTATGTCAGACGTGTGGCAAGTTACACGAGGGAGTATGTAGGTTGCTTTCTGGTGTTTGTTTCAATTGTAGTAAAGCTGGTCACTTTGCTCGGAATTGCCCCAAGAAATATGGGGATAGATCAGTACAATCTGTGAGATCAGTAGTAGCACCTAATAGAAGCAGAGGGAGAGGAAGATATGGCAGTCAATCTGAGGCTGGTAAAAGACTAGAGACTCGGGGAGTGGTTCGAGTATATAATATAAAGACTAATGATGATCAAGATGATCCGGAGATCATAACAGGTACATTTCACCTTTTTGATGAGCCTATTTTTTTCTAGTCGACCCAGGGTTTTCATATTCATATATTAGTACCAAATTGATTAAAACTAGAAAAATTCCTTTAGAACCAATTACTAGTGAAATGATAGCGATAAATCCTATGGGTCAAAGTGCAAGGGTGACTAGGGTGTGTAGGAAATGTCCAATAAAGATCCAAGGGGTAGTATTTTTGGCAAACTTGATGGAGTTTCCCTTTGATGAGTTTGAAATCATTTTGGGCATGGATCGGTTGTCTCCACACCATGGATGGGTAGATTGTCGTCAGAAATGATTATTTTTAAAGGATGCAGAAGGCTCCAAAATTGTGGTGATAGGGGAGAAGACGAAATCCATGTCAAATGTGATATCAACTATGACCGCAAAGAAAATGATGTCAAAAGGATGCATTGCTTTTCTTGCTAACGTGTTAGACACTAGATTGTTGGGAGTACGATTGCATGAAATTCCCATAGTTAGGGAATTTCCAGAAGTTTTTTCTTGAAGAGTTATCGAGTTTACCTCCGGATCGCGAAGTTGAATTTAGAGCACCTGTGTTATTTGTGAAAAAGAAGGACGGGTCTATGCAGTTATGTATTGACTATCGTCAACTGAATAAGGTAACAATAAAGAAAAAATATCCTCTTCTAAGGATTGATGATTTGTTTGATCAATTGAAAGGCACAACAGTGTTCTCTAAGATAGATATGAGGTCGGGGTAAAATCAGTTAAAGATCAAAAGAGATGATATCTCCAAGATAACTTTTCAGACTCGGTACGGACATTATGAATTTGTGGTAATGCCGTTTGGATTGACGAATACTCCTGTAGCGTTTATGGATTTAATGAATAGATTATTTCAACCATTTTTGGATCAATTTATGGTAGTGTTTATAGATGATATCCTGGTTTATTCCAAGTTAAAGGAGAATCACGATGCTCATCTTCGAGTGGTACTTCAGATACTTTGTGTTAAGAAGTTATACGCTAAATTGTCCAAATATGAATTTTGGTTATCTGAGATTTCTTTTCTTGGTCATATAGTGTCGGCAGAAGGCATTAGAGTGGATCGCAAGAAGATTCAAGCCATAGTAGATTGGTAATCCCTAAAGAATATCAAAGAAGTTCGGAGTTTCTTGGGACTTGCTAGTTATTATAGTCGATTTGTGAAGAACTTTTCAATGCTAGCTCTGCCGCTAACTAAATTATTGCAAAAGGATGTGCCTTTTATTTGGACAGAAAAGTGCCAAGAAAGTTTTGAGAAGCTAAAGAGAAGATGTATTGAGCTCTTGAAAGATTACAATTTGATTATCGACTACCATCCAGGAAAAGCTAATGTGGTAGCGGATGCACTCAGTCGAAAGACTTTTGCAACTTTAAGGGCGTTAGATGCACGTATGTCTGTGAATGAAGATGGTTCTTTGATTGTCGAATTAAAGTTAAAATCGATGTTTTTGGATTGAGTAAAAGAGCTGCAAGGGTGAGATAAGAAATAACTGATGAAATTGGTGCAGGTTGAAAAAAAATAAAGAAAAATTTTGAAATAAGAGATGATGAATGCTTATATAACCGGTGAAGGCTTTACATTCCCGATGATGATGATTTGAGGAGAGATATTCTTTGCAAAACCCATTATAACCCTTTGACCATGCACCCAGGCGGGAATAAGATGTATCAAAACTTGACAAGTCGTTATTGGTGGCATGGCATGAAAAGAGCAGTAACAAAATTTGTTCCTAAATGTTTAACATGTCAAAAAGTGAAAGCTGAACATCAAGTGTCAGCCGGGTTACTGCAACCTATATCTATTTCTGAGTGGAATTGGGAACGAGTAACGATGGATTTTGTTTCGGGGCTACCGTTGTCACCATGTAAAAAAGGACTCGATATGGGTGATAGTGGACATGTTGACCAAGATAGCTCATTTTATTCCGGTCCGAGTAGACTACTCAATGAATAAGTTTGCGGAGTTATATATAAAAGAAATAGTTAGGTACTCGATTGAACTTCAGTACAGCTTTTCATCCGCAAACAGATGGGCAATTAGAATGAACTATTCAAATATTAGAAGATATGTTGAGGGCATGTGTGATGGAATTTAAGGGATCATGGAATAAGTACTTGCCGTTAGCGGAATTCACGTATAATAATAGTTATCAATTGAGTATTAAGATGGTCCCATATGAAGCTCTATATGGGAGAAAATGTCGGACACCATTAAATTGGTTTGAACTGAAATATGAGATCTGGTCGGGCCGAATTTGATGAAATATATGGAGGATAAAGTGAAAATTATCCAAAGTAATTTAAAGATAGCCTCAGATTGCCAGAAGTCATATGCAGATTTGAAATGGAAAGAAATAAAATATCAGGTGGGAGACAAAGTCTTTTTTAAAATATCACCTTGGAAGAAGGTATTATGTTTTGGGTGTAAAGGAAAACTGAGTTCGAGATTTATTGGACTGTATGAGATATTGAAAAGGGTTGGACTCGTGGCTTATCAATTAGCTTTACCTTCGGATATGGACAAGATCTATAATGTTTTCCATGTATTGATGCTTAGGAGGTACAGATCAGATCCCTCGCATGTTATCACTCTTGAAGAGATAGAAATCTGACAAGATTTGACTTATGAGGAAGAACCGGTACGGATCTTGGCTAAGGAAACCAAGGAATTGCGTAGCAAAATGATTCCGTTTCTCAAAGTGTTTTGGCTGAATCATAAGGTGGAAGAGGCTACTTGGGAGAGAGATGAGGATATGAAAAAGCAGTTCCCACATCTCTTTGTTTAAGGTACTTCTATAACACCCATAACACGTACAATTATACCTATACAGATTATATATGTCACCTGAAATTTCATAACATATTTTCCCATTCAAAGTGATTTAAAATTTCTTTTCTTAAAATGGTAAATGATATTATAATAATATCATATCAAATCAAATTATCACATACTATTAAAACGTATATTAATATAGATTTATGCTATCCATATTGAAACAGAGTAAAATAGTTTAGTTTAGTTTAGTTATTACAAACCATTTCCAAAATAGTTCAACAAAACAACTAGGACATTGATAAGTACATGCCACTAACAAAGTCAAAATTTCATAATAGGATGTCTTACTGATATTGTAGTATATTCCTTCATGCTTGGAGTGCTCTGTACTCTTTACTCTACTCTTGGCTTTTTTCCTACGCGTGAAAATCATCACACGCTAAGTATATACTTAGTGAGGCAATTAAAAATAATAAACAATGCAATACAACTTATGCATGAAATTTAATGTCATAAACAAATGCCATAAGATCATGTTACATGCATATCCTATATTTCACCATGATCAAAATAATATAACTGAATATAAAATTTCTTACCAATATACTTGTCATTTATCCCATAAACTCGTAGGCTTATTTTTATGTTATACTTCATTAACCAATAAACCATAATCAAAAGTATAAATGTATGAGAACCCCGGCATATGAGTCAAATATTGCATCGCAGTGCTGAGGTCGAGCTTTGCTCACCTAATAATGCACTGTAGTGCTGAGGTCGGGCTTTACCCACCTTGTACACCGTAGTGTTTTGCACCGTGTCTTCCCTAGACACTTTGAGGCCTGCACTATGTGCCTTCTCTGACACTCTAGTGCTACCTAATATGAGCTGCTAGACTCTATGGCATGCCATTAATACCACTGATCCTCAATAACATACTTAGGCATATAGTCTACTTTATTTTATTCATCCATGGAAAAGTATATTATCGTAATTTAACAATGGGACAGTTCATACCCAAAATAACATTCATGGTAAAATATCACATTATCCATGATCAATGCACTATAATTTCACACTGTGACATATCAATGTCATATCGAAGTTATATAAGTGACATAATATCATGATGATATAAACAATGTTGACTTATCTCAAGTCTTCCTGATGATGTATAAAACATATATGTACATGATGTATAAAACATCCATGTACCATGTCATGCATGTATTGCACTCACCTTGACACTTTATATATTCCAAAATTTGTGCCTCACTATGATCCACAATAAACCCTTTTATACTTGACTTGCTTCATTCACAAATCAATCACGATCTGTACAAATTACAATTTCATAACAATACATATGTTAGTATTGTACTAACATAAACATATCCCCAAAACAAAATCCAGAATATACTTGAAACTTATCTTCTACCAAAATACTTAACACTTAATAATTACTTTTAACATTGGCACCAACTTTTCCAATTTACACAAAATGGCCCTTCACCATTTTATCACTTAGATTCTTAATACCAAAAATTCCAGCATTGAAATTATTACCATTCAAATTCTTTTACAAAGGCATAACTACATTTAAGTACCCCAACTATGCGAATGTTGTACTTAAATCACCAATCTTTTCAAACTTCTAAAATAATCATATTTCACATCTAAACACTCATTTCAATTCCAAAATAGTAATTTCCATTATAGTGCATCAATTATTAAACAATTATACTATCATTCATAACTTTTCTAAAATTGCCAAATTGGTCCCCTAACTTTTAAAAAAATTAAAAAATAGTCCCCAAATTTTTATAAGGCTTTTAGAATATTTCTTACATCATTTACAGACCTTATATAATTTTTCCATAATTTTCTCACTCAAATACATCATGGTCGAATTCTTTATCCTTTAAAACTATGTTTTCATGATTTTGCTTGATTTTAATTCGATTCAAGCATGAAATCAACTTTCAATCAACCTTATAACATCTCTACAATAAAATCCCTAATCAACTCTCATCAGAACACAAAGTTTCTCCAACATATAATTTGTCCAAATTTTAATGAATAATTTCTAGGAAGATTGAACATGTTTTAACCATAAATCAAGCTTGAAAATGAATCTACAACCTCAAAAACATCAAGATTCATCATCAATTTCATGAACCCTATCATGAACATAAACCGTTAGATTTGGGATCTTTGAATTCCAACAAGATTAACAAGCAATATTGGTACCAAATGATAGCATTTTTCACGTAGAACAATTTTCTATTTCAAGGCATAACCCGAAATCCAAAGAAAATTGCTCAAAAATGGAAAAAAAAATCCCTTACCTTGGTATAGCTCACGACAATGAAGAGACGATGAAGACTTTTGGCATGAAGCTTTAGATATTTTTCATGCTTATCTACCTTTAATTTAACTTTAATAATTTTAAATTCCTTAAATTGGGAAAATATCAATTTCCCCTTAATGAAACTTAGTAATCACCATTAAACTAAGACACCTAACCTTATCATCTTCCAAAGTCAAAGATTAACAAAATATTTTTCCACTTTACCATTTTGCCCTTGAAATTTCCAAAAATCACAATCCTGCCACTTTAATCCAACAGTCCAAATTAAACCTGAAATTAAATCCTAAAATCCAAAGATTTATATTATTTTCCAACATTTAAAAATGTGAAAATAATATATATTATCTTTTATTTTTGAGGCCAAAATGTAACTTTTTAAAATTACCATTTTAGTCCTTAAACTTTTCAAAATTTATACTTTGGTCACCAAACTTTAAAATTTATAATTTGGTCACTCACTAAATCCATTAATGGAATAACATTCTTTTTGGGAAAATTACCACTTAGCTCCTTAAACTTTTTCCCAATTTTCTACGTTAACCATCAAACTTTCAAAATTTGAATTTTGGTCATTATCTAAATTTGTCACGATATATTTATTCCGACCAATTTTATTTGTTACCATGTTTGTTAGAACAACCTTGTCATGTAAAGTATATTGTGACAAAATTATGTTTGTTACCCTTGTATAATATTTATTATAACAATGAAATTTCATTACTATAATTAACTTATCACAATAAAATATTTGTCACAATCAATTAACTATTTCATCACGAGAAGTACATTTTGTCATAACTAACTTATATTTAAACATCAAATATAAAGAGTTTTTGTGACGAAAATAAATAAGGCGACAAAAATTATTTTGTCACATTTATTATTTCGTCCCTAAATATAAGTTACATAAACAAAATATTTGTTAAAATAAAATAATTATTTTATCACAAAAAGTAAATTTCGTCACAATTAACTTAAATTATAACATCAAACAAAAAAGGTTTTCGTGACAAAAAATATATTACAACAAAATTTATTTTCTCGCTACTTTTATTTCGTCACTGAATATTTTTATAACTTTTTATTGTGACTAAATAATTTGTTACAATTTGTTATAGTGAGAATATTATTTGCCACAAATTTTTATAATGAGTAATTAATATTTGTTATAAATTGTTATTTTGATTAAATAAATTTGACATAACTTTTTACTTTGATTAAGTTTGATGTGTTATTGTGACTAAATCATTTTGTTACAATTTTTTTGATGTTACAAAATAGCATTTTATTTAAATTTGTTATTATAACTAAAATAATTTGTTATGATAACTAAAAATATATTTTAAAATCTTATAACAATAAAACTAATATTAAATATCAATAAAATAAACATAAAATGTGTATAATAAATTTGCTAAAAAAATAAAGTCCTCCCTATAAATAAAAGTAAATTAAAATCCACCATGAAGATCCATAAATTATTCCACACCTACATGTAAATAAAAAAAGTTAAAATTATATTAAATTTTTAATAAATATTTTTTTTTAAAAATAACATATGAAATTTATTTTATTATTAAAAATTAAATTATAATATTACATTGAATATTCAATCAAATGTGTTTCCTCCAAATCTTTGAATCAGTTGTTTCAAGTTTGCACTTTGCAGAGTGAGGATATGGTCATAAATAGGGAATAATGTCTAGAAACAGACTCGATTTGTTGTATTCTCTTTTCCGTTACTGATTTCGACCTAGTTTTGGATTCGTTGTCTTAAGAATATTTAGTTTTTTAATAGGAACTATTAAACTTAAATAAGCATGGATAAAATAGCCTTGAAGAGCATTTCCGCTCAGTAATATATGGTCCTACTTAATGTATTACAGCCCTAACCTTGTATAGTAAACAAAGTTCTAAACCAAGTAAACAAGCATGCAGCCAATTCAAGTAATTCTTTAGCTCATTCAAGTAATTTATCTAGTAAAGTCAAAAACGTACTTACACAATACAATACTAAAAACCACTGGTAACCAAATCATTCTAGTTCACTATAAATTGACAGAGGGAGAATCAGTTTGGGGTTGAATCAAACATATAAGTGAAATAATGCACACAACAACACAAGAAGAATCAAGCAAATAAAAATTGCTCTGAGAAACAATTTAGAATTTGTTTCCTTAGCCATGTACTACCACCAGCTAGATGGTAATTCACCCTATGGATGGAATAATTGTACAGGAAAATGATCAAATATTCATCCTATTTTAGCATGCATATTTTCACCATCCCTCTCGATATTGATACTTATCATAATTGATCTCACTCATTCAGGATAGCTTGATTCCTTGGGGGTCCACTCATAGGAGGAGAAAGCTATGCTTCCCGCTTCTCATTCTCTACTACTTTTGGTAACTTCATGAATAATTACAGTACTCTTAGTCCTTCTCAGGGAAACTATGGAGTATGGATTGCCATTACCCTTATGATACTGGACTTGATAGCGAACTCGAGAATATACACATTTAACTATGATTTGAAGCTTACAAGAGTAGCATAACAAGCATTTAGAATTAAATAATAAAAATACATACGAACAATCAAAATCTCCTAGATTTCAGCTCATTAAATGAATTCATTCTTCTCTTGAGCAGTTTGCCAAACCCGCTGTATAAACACAACCAACTAAAGCATTCTGTACTATGAACCACATTTAACCTAAATGAAGTTATTTGAACCTGTCAGAACTTAAACGTATGGTTGGGCCCTTTCCTATAAGCTTAGGCTTCTGGAATCACCAAATTTGAGGAAACCCAAACCACAGTTACTCAAATTTTAATCTTTATGGAGTAAAAAGGAATCAATGACCAGTTCTAATGCTATGCAGCGCTAAAAAAAATCCCTTTAGGACTTGTATCAAACATTTAAAAGACAACAAAGAACAAAATTTGAGTGAAAAGGGCCTAAAAATCCTTTGAGGACTTATATCAAACATTTACTCCAAGAAAGAGCTTATCACAAGCAAACAATCTGATAAATAGAAATAGAGTTATAAGATAATTCAACCACTGAAAGAATGTAAGGTAGGCATTTCACTTCAATGCGCAATGCGCTAATAGTTCAACAGACAACATCAATGTTTGAAAATATATTGATACAACCATTCATGGATTTGCACTAACATGATTTTAGCAAAGGTTATATTGTATTATTTCTTCACATACAAAGCATAATTATTAGAAAGCAACTAGACATTCTTTATACCTTAACAATAATTGGAGACCGCAACTCCAGAACACGATGATTATCCACCGAACTAGGTTCCCCTATCGTAGACTGGAGGTCAGATTTGTCCCTTAGCTCTGTCTCTGTACTTCGATTGCTCTGGTTCTTCCGCTTTGTCCTCTCTGCACAATTAATTTTCGTCTCAAGTCCATTAAATTATCGAAATTTAAGGATAAATATCGCATCAAAGATGCAATTTCACGATGTTTAAAGAAAATGAAGCATTGAATAAGAAAGCAATTTTCTCCTCGTAGTATTTCTTCGAGGTAGTCATTGATAAAAATTCCTAATTTTTCACAGAAAATTAAGGATTTGACGCCAGTGAACCGGACATTGTAGGAGTCCCAGCCGTGGAGAGTAGAGGGAGACTTGAGAGTGTTTAGAGGAGGGTATACGGGTTACCCGCCCGTTTAACCCGCGGGTTTTGACGGTGCGAGCTTAAACGGTGCGGGCTAAAAAGCCCGCATTTATAAACGGTTTTGAATTTTAAGGTCTGCGGCCCGTCCATTTAACCCGCGGGCTAAACGGGCTTACCCGCGGCCCGTTTAATAAAAATAATTTTAAATGTTTTAAATACAATAAAAAATAATGTTTTAACTTACTACACCTTTAAAAATGATCGAGCAACTTGAAAAGGAAGGTAGCACTGTCAAAATAATAAATAATATTTAAATTTTATTTTAAATAGCCGGAAATGATTATAAAATAATATTTTTTTAATTTTTTAATCATTAATATATATATATATAATGATATAATTACTTAAACTCAAATTAAAAAAACAATATTCACTTATATCACCAAATTGAAAAACAAATAAAACAATAACCACATTATACTTTTATAAAACACAATTATTCAAGGCTATAATATGAATACATAGAAGTGTCTAAAAGTAGAAATTCAAACTTAAAAATTTAACAAAGTCAAACATTATACAAATCTAACAAGAAAGTTGTCAAGTGTTTCTAATAATTGTATTTTATGGATACTTTAAAGAAATACTAAAACATAATATGAAAATATAAAATAAAATACTTACAGTATAAGAGAAAATTTGAAAGATACAATTATACTAAAATTGATAAAATATAAGTATTAATTTGTTAAAATATATTTATTTTCTAAAAGTCTTTAAAAGTTGAAAAATATATTTTTAATTTTTTATTTTACTTTTCTTTCTTATTTTTAATCCAAATATTACGTGTCATGTGATATATTATTAGAATATCACGTGACTTTTTATAATTAAAGAACAAAATGGATAACATACTTCATGAAAAAAATAAAAGTCATAATTAAATAAAAAAACTTTAAATACCAAAATGATAATGATGTATATTTAAATGAAAAAAATATCAAGCAACGGTAAAATTATGACAAACACCCTAATAAATTTAAAAACTACAATAGTTATAAGTAACATCATATTTATAAGTAATTTATTTTCTTTTTCTATAAAATTTTTTAAGTTTATTTTTTCTAAAATTTTATAAATTTTAAATTAAGCGGACTTTAGCGGGTTTAACGGGTAGCCCGCGGTTATACCCATTAAACCCGCGGGTTTAACGACCCGGGCTAAAAAGCCCGCAATTTAAACGGTCTTCAATTTTTGAGGCCCGAAGCCCGCACGGGTCGCAGGTTAAACGGGTAGCCCGCGGGCCTTAGCCCATATACCCAGCTCTAAGAGTGTTCTAATCTTTTTGGGGTTAGGGTTTGCAAATGGTAAAAAAGAAAAGAAAGAGGGGGAGAGATGCGGCGCACAAGTGTTCTCCTAAAGTTTTGGTCTAATTAGGATAAGATTCCTTAGTCTCACTTATTTTTATATGTAGTCCCTTGTTTTACTTTATTCTAATTTGGTCACTGAATGTTTCTTTACTATTTCTGATAATGGCTTACTGTTTTGTTTAAAATAATAAAAGTATAATCTTCAGAACATGATGGTTCTGAAGAGATTCTTATAATATTAAAATATAAAAACAAATCAATAATTATAATAATATTAATTATTAATAAAAATGATACAAATTGTATATAAAATTCGTGTATTAAAAATAATTTATGGTTAAACTTTGATGTGTTATAGTTAATAAAAATAATCGTAAAAAATTTAATACATGCTTTTTTATCATCCGTATTAGTTAGGGATGTTCATATTTAGGTACTCGTTTTTTCAGGTATTCAAAATTTTTGGGTGTCAAAAACTCGGTCTACCTCTCAACCAGTAATATGCGGGCACCCATAAGTTGGATACCCATAAAACCTAGGTACCCGTATTTTTGGGTCATCGAATATCCGATTATTATTTATTTAATTTATATTAATTTTCAGGAAAAAAAAGATACATAATGCTCTTGTACATTTTTTAAAAAAAATCAATTTGGCCATCACATTACTGTTGCATTCAATACGACCCTCAAACTTAAGGGAAAAAACAATTAACATGATCCTTTAACCAAAAGTTTCTATCATTAACGATTATGAAATTATATAATAAAAAATATTAAAAATAGTTATACAACTAAAAAGAGTATTGTAGTGAATATAACATTATAAACGGAAGTAACCTTTACCTAAACTTAATGTAAAAAATTTAATAGGTAATTTACCCAACTATGGTTAATATATATTGTTCAAGACTTACACGGATCGTCTTACATGAGGGCTTAAATTAACTTGTTCATTCCCAATTTAATACATATATATATAGTTCAATTTTTTTAGCAATTTAATTTTTCATTTTTACTATTTTTATATTTTATTTTTTTGTGTATTTTAAATTTTAAATTTAGAATAATGATTTTTTAATAAATAAACATGCCTCTCAACTTTTTGATAATATAGTTTTTTATTATATTTTATTTGAAAATGCCATTTAATTATATATATATATATTATCAGAAAAAATTAAAATTTTTAACAATTTTTATAATAAAATTATACTTTATCATTATAATTAAATATATAACTGCAAACGTAATTTTCTTTTATAAAAAAACTTGAATATTTTATTAATTAAAAAAATATTTTTTTTAGATAATTTTTCTATAACAATAACTATTATATATAGTTACAAAACTTGTCACTATATAACATTGTTGCACCAAAAAATAGGGAGAAATATTTCGGATAGTATAAGTTTTCATAATGATTAAAATATATAACTAAAAAATAATTAATTACAAAAAAAACTTAAATTTTATTAATTACAATAAATTTTGTTACAATATAGCATTTTTTACACTAAAAAATAGGGAGAAGTAGTTATGATAATATATTTTTTCATAATGATTAAAATATATAAGTACACAAATAATTTATTACGAAAAAACTTGAATTTTATTATTTTATGTGATAATTTTTTTTATAATGATAGCTATAAATTATAATTATAAAAATTGTCAATATAACTTTTGAAACAAAAAATTGGAGAAAAATAGTTATGACAATTAATATATGCTATCACTATAGTTAAAATTTATAACTATTAATATAATTTGTCACAAAAATGTGAATATCATTATTTTTTTGTGACAATTTTTTTGTAATAATTATTAACACTTATAATTACAAAATTTGTCACTATATAACTTTTTTGGCGCAAAAAAATATGGAGGGAAATCTGTGACAATATATTTTGTCACTATAATTAAAACATATAACAACAAACATTGTTTTTTTACTAAAAACTTGAATCTCATTATTTGTTGTGACAATTCTTTTTGTAACAATAATTATAGCTTATAGTTACAAAACATATCACTATATGATTTTTATTTTACCAAAAATTGGAGACAATCATTTGTTACTATACATTTTGTCACTATAATTAAAATATATAATTACAAACAATATTTGTCACAACAGATATAAATCTCATTATTTTTTGTTTATATTTGTTGTGATAATTTTTTCTGTCATAGTTACTAAAACTTTTAGTCACAAA